GGGGGGTGTGGTCTAGGGATTAGCGTAATGCACTGTAGATTCAAGTGTCCATGTTTCGATTTCCATTGCCGTAAAATCGCGCTACCCCTTTTCAGGCAATAGCAGCGTTATAAGAGTGACAGTAGATCTTCACTATTCGATTACAGGAGCCTAAAATTTGGCGTTTGTTGCTGTTGAATCTCTAATCTTTCAGTTGAAATTATGGACAGCTAGCGCGAGTATCCAAAATTGTAACTGCCTACCCTTCCGGTGGTTCAGCGGTAAGTTTGAGAGCTCATAATGCTAAAAATTTGGTGTTAGAGTCCTACCGTACACACAGAACAGATAGTCCATCGTACAGATTTCAGCTTAGCAGCAAAACCCGAAAACAGTATATTATTATTTAATTTATATGATGACTTCCAGATTTACAGTACATTTGGTTTGTTGATTCCACATTAAAATTACCACAAACTAAAATGACTGGTAGAAGATACACTTCATACATCCGATAAACTCGAAGATTACGCCATCTACGTTCTTAATCTAACATGAGTAGTGTTTTGTTTGCTTAGCAGTTGTTTTTGAAAAGTTGTCGAAAATTTGAAAGAATAAATTCACGCGGATAATAACTCGTGTAGTTTGTACATTTCTTTAAACCTCTTGTCAAGCTCTTAGCTTGTATAAATTAAAATTAATAAAGTTAAGGTGTTTAGTATCGTTATCCATTATATGAAAAGTTTGTCAATCGTTGTACTTGTTTGGTAGAGACAAAACTCGCTACAGGAACATAATGAGAAATGAATAGATTAATTTACTCGCCTAATTATTGACGTTTTGTAGGGGTTTTTTCCAGCAATTTATTACTAAATACATTTTAATTAACGGATTTGAGAAGTTGGATATGCTATAAACCATGTATTTAATCAAAAAATACTTAATTTTACACTTTAACAATAATAATGTTGAATCATACATCGCCTAGTATTCATAACAGATGTTTTAGTTCACATTCATTACACACTTATTATGGTAATAAAGGCACTGCTCGTTTTATTTTATTTTCGGATCCTAAAGCAAAATACATTTTCTATAAAGAGAATTTGTAAATATTCTTTCTTTTTCGGTAAATAGAAACGCTATTTAAAGCGTTGGATGTATTTAAGAACACTTTTGTTTTCTCGATGAATTGCTTCTAATCTTAATACATAGTCTCCATCCCCAGTGGCTCAGCGGTAAACCTGTGGCCTTATAACGCTAAAATGCGGGGTTCAGTATCAGCGATGGGAAAAGCACAGATAGCCCATTGTGTAGCTTTGTGCTTAAAACCAAACAAGTAAAAACTTTATATACGTATTCTGTTAATCATAAAAAAAAATGAAACATATGCGGATCACATTTAACATTACAATACAAGCCTACAAACTGGTGAATGATCAGTCGGTCGTTTTATCGTTGTTCATTAAAGCATAAGGTCAAAACAAACAAACGTAAAAACATAAAAAGTTAAAGTTACTCGTGGAACTATTGAAATAAAAAAGACAAGAAATTCAATACTGCATAAAAAAACTATAAATTTCGCTATGAATATATGTGTTCCATAGATACTTTTATCTTTAGGGTTTCCTAGTGATTGATTGTTTGAAAATATCAGGCTGAATGTATCTTTCGTTTTCTTTAGTATACAGTATATTTCTAATGGGGTTCGTCTACTGTAGTGACTACTATTGGCCATGGATTTGAAATGCCTGCTAAAACGTAAAACGTGGAACACAACGAAACTAAATGCACCCTAGATGTATCCATGTCACTTGAGCTAGGTTGGCTTTACCAGCCTTGTACCTTTACCTGTATATATATCCAATTACTTTTTTATTTACTCCTGTAGACGTGCTTATCTTACTCGCTCTGGATTACTACATTCTACATGGTAAAGGTTTCTATCTACGTATCTATCTATTAAATGAGAGTGTACTATAGTATATCCAGATTGCTGTAGGTATAAGACAATCAAAACTGTATGGTGTGATGACGTCTGGTGTTATCCGTACTGTATGGCGTTGATATCTGACGTTATCCATAATATATGGTGTCGATATCTGGTGATCCATAACGTATGGCGTTGATATTGGTGTTATGAATACTTTATGGTGTTAATATCTGGCGTTATCCATAATGGATTTTGGCGATATCTGGTGATCCATAAGGTATGGCGTTGATATTGATGTTATCAATACTTTATGGTGTTGATACATTGTGTTATCTTATGTGCTGTATACAGTGTTGATATTAGTGTTATCAATATTGTATGGTGATCCATGATGTATGTTGTTGATACTGGTGTTATCAATACTGTATGGCGTTGATATCTGACGTTATCCATAATGTATGGTGTCGATATCTGGTGATCCATAACGTATGGCGTTGATATTGGTGTTATGAAAACTTTATGGTGTTGATATCTGGTGTTATCCATACTTTATGGTGTTGATATC